AGCCCAGGCTGGCCTCGAACTCACAGAGATCCGCCTGCCTCTGCCTCCCAAGTGCTGGGATTAAAGGCGTGCGCCACCACCGCCCGGCCTTTTTAAATATTTTTTAATCTTCATTTTGTGTGTGCACCTATTTTGCCTTCATATATGTCTGTGCAGAGCATATGTGCACGGCCTAGAGAAGCCATAAAAGGATGTTGGATCCCATGGAACTGGAGTTAAAGAGTTATGAGCTGCCATGTGGGTGCTGGGGAGTCAAACCCAGGTCCTCTAGAACAGCCAGTGCTCTTTGCAGCCCCACTGACATACCACGTGCTGAGATACATGCATATGCCTCAAGCACTGTAAGTTGCTATTATTAAGAGCAGCAGGCTAACTCTGTATTTTTTTTTTTTTTACAATTTTTAAGTCGAAAATATTTTAAATAACCAGGACTACACAGAGAGACCCTGTCTAAAAAAAAAAAAAAAAAACCCTAAATAAAATGTAAAGGTTGGGGGAAGGTGTAGTTGTCTTTACTGAGACAGACGAGTCATGTATTTGAGCTTCAACAAATCTGATCCTTGGGGTTGGAGATAAAGAGCGTTCTCTGCTCACAGAGGACCTAGGTTCAGTTTCTATCAGGTAGCTCATAACTCCAGGCACCATTTCAGGCACCTATACATACATGATACACAGACAAGTAGGCACACAAACATGCATATAAAAATAAATTTAAAGCTGGGCGGTGGTGGCACATGCCTTTAATCCCAGCACTCCGGAGGCAGAGCCAGGTGGATCTTTGTGAGTTCAAGGCCAGCCTGGTCTACAGAGTGAGTTCCAGGAAAGGCGCAAAGCTACACAGAGAAACCCTGTCTCGAAAAATCAAAAAAAAAAAATAAAATAAATTTAAAAACAAAACTAATCTGATCCTTCTTTCAGCCTCAGGATATAACAAGGTTAGAGAAAATGTCCCTTTTTAATCAGAAAGAACAAGGACTCCAAGGGGAAGGTCAGAAAAATCTCTTAGACATAGTCCAATTCCTTCTTCAAAAGCTTCGCTCCTCCCTATCAACTGACCAAGACCCAAAGGAACTCCTGAGAAAACAGGTGCACAAGAATAAGCTGGGGTACTGAAGAGAGATGGCGCAGCAGTGAAGAGCACTGGCTTTTCTTCCAAAGGACCTGGATTCATTCCCAGTATCCACACGGCAACTTACAACCAGCTGTAATTCCAGTTCCAGGGGATCCAATGCCTTCTTCTGGCCTCAGCAGGTACTATAAGCCTACGGTACATAGATACACATGCAGGCAAAATACCCACACACAAAATAAAATCATAAAAAACAAACCTGTGGGGCCAGTGAGATGACTCAGCAGGTAAAGATGCCTTGATAACCTGTGTTCAATCCCCAGGATTTCACATGGTAGATGGAGAGAACCAATTCCTGTAAGATTTCCTGTGGCCGGGTGGTGGTGGCACACACCTTTAATCCCAGCACTCAGGAGGCAGAGCCAGGCGGACTCTGTGAGTTCAAGACCAGCCTGGTCTACAGAGCAAGATCCAGGACAGGCACCAAAACTACATGGAGAAACCCCGTCTCGAAAAACCAAAACAAAAAATTTCCTGTGACTCCTACATCTGTGCCATGGTGCACAAGTGTGTAGACACAGTTGCAAGCACATGCACACTTTAAAAAGAATCAAGTGATCGTTCCAGAAACACAAGAAAATGGGGCCAGACAGAAGGCACAAGCATTTAATCCTAGCATTTAGTTAAAGACAGGTCCACCTCTAATTTGAGTCAGGCCTGGTCTACATAGTTCTAGACCAGCCAAGGATATGTAATGAGACCCTGTTGCTTTTACAAAAGACCTGAGTTCAATTCCCAGCACCCACATGGTAACTCACAACCCTCTGTAACTCCAGTACCTAGGCCCACACAGTAGACATACTTACATGAAGGCAAAACAGTCACACACAAAAAAAGTAATCTTTTTATTGTTGTTGTTGTTTTGGGGTTTTGAGAGAAAGGATCTCGCTACATAGCCCTGGCTGTCCTGGAACTCATTATGTAAACCAGCTGGCCTTGAATTCACAGAGATCTGCCTGTCTCTGTCCCCTGAGTACTAGGATTAAAGGTGTGCACACCATGCCCATCATATATATATATATATATATATATATATATATATATATATATATATGAGATATATGTATATATATGAGAGAGAGAGAGAGAGAGAGAGAGAGAGAGAGAGAGAGGAAGAGATCTGGAACTCCCTCTGTAGACCAGGCTGGCCTTAGACTCACAGAGATCTACCTCCTGAGTGCTTAAAAGCATTAAATGAATAAAGGTATGTGCCACCACCACCTAGCAATAATATTTAATTTTTATTTAAAAAAAAAAGAAGCCGGGCAGTGGTGGCGCATGCCTTTAATCCCAGCACTAGGGAAGCAGAGGCAGGCGGATCTCTGTGAGTTCAAGGCCAGCCTGGGCTACCAAGTGAGTTCCAGGAAAGGCGCAAAGCTACACAGAGAAACCCTGTCTCGAAAAACCAAAAAGAAGAAAATGATTGCCTGGAAATATGCCACTCTTCTCTTACCATTGAAGCGGTCAATAGCCTCCTGTCGCATGTTCCCAGTGATCCCACCATCAATACGTTCATATTTATAACCTTCATGTTCTAAAAAATCCTCTAGCAAGTCCAACATCTTGGTCATCTGTAAAAAGGAACAGCTGAATTACAGAACTGTCAGGTGATAACTCTCTTCTCAGTCACTAGAGCTGTCCCACACTGTCTCCAAAGTTCTAGTTGGGCCCACATACCTGGGAAAAGATGAGAACCCGATGCCCTCCCTCCTTAAGGTTCTTAAGCATCTTCTGTAGCAGCAACAATTTCCCAGATGCTCTGATTAGGGCACTGCCATCATACATGCCATTAGGCATCTTAGGGGCTTCCTGGTGACAGAAGCAAAGGAAAATGTATTAAAGAAGCCCACAAGGAGGAGTGAACAACCCAGGGAGGACAAAGAGGTGGCACAACTTACCATTGCCGCCACAGGGAAGAGGTAAGGGTGGTTGCAGCACTTCTTAAGATCCATCACCACATTTAGCAGGGAAACCTGGTTGCCACCACCTCGAGCATTAAGTGCTTCAAAATTCCGTGTGAGAATATACTTGTAGTACTTCCTACATGAACAAGATGCAAGGACAGGTTGGACTCCAGTCTTTAAATGACTAATGATGCTGAGACCCAACAGCCTGAGATCATCTTTCCAACCTCCCTCACTGTGCAGCTAAGCTAACAAGCACTAGCCACATGGTCATTATGTTAGACACTGGAAGGTATAACTAAGAACTACAAACTCCAGCTCCCAGGTCTCAAGTTTCTCCAGACCCTGCCTGCTCCTGTCACCAGATGCCTAGGAGCTATATGGGAGAAACCCTTGGCAAAATGCACATGTCTAGCTGGATTACAAGACGGAATTTGTGCTTCTGCACCTCACACTCACTTCTGCATAGGGCTCAGCTCCACACGCACAATCAGCTCTGTCTTGGATGGCATATTCTTGAACACATCAGCTTTGAGCCGCCGCAACATATGAGGCCCGAGCATGTCATGTAGTTTTTTAATCTGGTCCTCTTTAGCAATGTCAGCAAACTCCTCCAAGAAGCCTTCCAAATTGCTTCAGGAAAAAAAGAAAGTCGTTGGAGAGGTAGAAACAAAGGAAGGAAATATAGGAGATGGGCAACAAGAAGAATTCAAGATAATCATGGACTGACTATGATAAACACACTTACTGGAATCTCTCAGGGGTGAGAAAGTTGAGCAGATGAAACAGTTCCTCCAGGTTGTTTTGTAATGGAGTCCCAGTTAGCAACAGCTTGTGCTGTAGTGAGTAACCATTCAAAACTCGGAAGAACTGGAGAAGAGAGATGAAATTCAAAAAATCAGGGCACCAATGTATCTCTACAGAATCCCAAGCTGTTTCACTGTCCAGTGAAATTAAGTCTCTTATGGCTGTTATCATTCTTAAAGGCCTGGCCACAGAACTGCTACCACAGGTAAGGAAGGAAACAGACCATTTTCCTTTCTTCTCTCCTTAGGTTTCTTTTCAAAGAGATGAGCTCCCAAAAGACTAAAACTGGAGACTATCACCTCTCTTCCTTCTCACCTTAGATTGATTGTTCTTCAGACGATGAGCTTCATCCACAATAAGGCAGGCCCAATCAATAGAACCTAAGATGGCCATATCAATGGTGATCAATTCATAGGATGTCAGCAGAACATGAAATTTCACAGATGCTTCTTTCTGCATAAAGATGAGTTGATTATTCATTACTGGTCCACTCCTCCAATATCAGCACAGCCAGGGACAGGTGGGCTTTACCTGCTCCCAGAGTTACCCTTCTGCCTTACCCAGAGACCAGGTGAGGCAGCAAACTAAGCCCAAAGCAGTGACTCCCTCTCCAACAGTATCCTCTTCCTCCCCGCACTGAGATACCTTCATTCGGGAGGCCTTCTTGCCACCACGAATGGCATTGTCTTCAAAGGAGAACTCATTCTCCCTGATGATAGCACGGCTGTCCTTGTCACCCACATAGGTTACCACGTACATATCGGGAGCCCACATCTCAAACTCTCGCTCCCAGTTGATGATGGTAGAAAGCGGAGCACTTACTAAGAAGGGGCCTTTGGAATGACCCTAGGAGGAAGAAAGCAGGCAGGGTCAGGGCTAAGAGCCCATCATCCTGCACCCCAGACTCCACCTCCCTCCGACCCTCAGTGAAGCTGAGGTCTGACACTGCACCCCTGCCCCGCCATCCTTCTCCTTTACGAAAGCTGTCTGACCCTCTCTTTTCCAAAAATTAACAGCCCACCTTGACAATGCCAAACTCATCCACCAAGACTTTCCCTACCACTAAGTCCACCCACAAGTCTGTTGACCTCAAAACACGTGCACTCCATCTCCCCCACTAAGTCTACCATGGCTCCATTCCCATAAGAGTCCCACTGTAGGGTCTCTCACTGGCTAAGAGCACAGGCTACTCTTGCAGAGGACCCCCGTTCAGATCCCAGGACCCAGATGATGGCTCAGTGTGTCACTCCAGTCTCAGGAGATCGGACCCCCTCTTCTAGCCTCCACAAGCACGGAACACAGGTGGTGCACAGACGTACTTACAGGAAAAACACCCACACAAATACAATTTTAAGGAAAACAATTTCCACTGCCAGACCTATGTCTTCTTGTCCCTCAGTAGTGTTCAGAGTGAACGTCCTTCTTCCCTTCCTCCCTCTCCTCCAAGTACAAGAAAAGAATACAATCACAAAACACCCACACAAACACTAACATCTCTCCATTCTTACCTCCTTGTAGAGGGAATAGAGAAAGACTGCGGTCTGCACAGTTTTCCCAAGGCCCATCTCATCAGCCAAGATGGTGTCAGTACCCTGAGCCCAGGAGAAGCGCAGCCAGTTTAAGCCTTCCATTTGGTAGGGGTGCAGAGTGCCACCTGTGGCATCCAGGTACTCTGGCTGTCGCTCATACTTCACTGTTGGCTAAAGGATAAGAGAGAAGACAAGAGCTGGTAAAGACTTGAGGAAGACAATAGCTACTTCCCCCTTCACATGGCCTCACTAGATTTTTCCCCCCGGAAGCTAAAAGAAAAACAACAACAAAACCCGTAAGGAAGCCAGGCACGGTAGCAGCTGCCTATTATGCTCCTACTTCAGGAGCTCAACATGAAAACTAAGGGCTGGATGATGGCTCGGTGGTTGAGAGCACGGACTGCTCTACCAGAGGACCTGGGTTCAGTTCTCAGCACCCACATGGGAGCTAACAGTCCAAGGTCTGACACCCTCATAGAGACATACATGCAGGCAAAACACCAATGTTATTCAAACAATAAACAGAGCACTAAAAAAATATGAAAATTAAAGATTCACTAACAATACACTAATTCCACTAGATCTGCGAGGGAGCTAGGTGTGATGGTGGTGCACACCTGCAATCAAAGCACTTGGGAGGTGTGGAGACATGAAGATCAGGAGTTCTAGGCCAGCCTCAGCTACAAGAGACTCTGCCTTTCTCAAATAAATAAATAAGCCCTTGTGTATAAGACCACTCCCTAGATAATACTTTGTCATCATATACAATCTCTTCTGTGGGTTTTTCCTGATGGAGAAGAAAGAAGGAAATCGCAGTGTTTTCGGATTTACAGACCTGTGCAGAAGGAGCATTTACAGTACAGCCATCTGCAGGCTGACTTGGAGCTGCACCATGAGGCTGCAGCAGGCAGACATAGTGCCCACCCAACAAATGATGCCCTTCCACTTCCACCAACTCACGTCAACAGTTGGGGTCTCCGGAGGCCTCTCCAGTTTCCGAAGCTTCACCTTCTTGAGCTTCTTGCCAGGTCGTCCTTCCTCACCCCTCATTAACTCCCTAGGAATGAAAACTCCACAATGCCAAGGGGTCCTCCTCTCAAGAGAGCACCTCAGCTCTTTCCTCCCATTGCCTACCTGTGATTCCAGTAGCTCTGCTTGAACAGGTCGTAGTCCTGAATCTCCACATCCTCACTCTCCCAAGATGCCTGATCATAGGGTAAGTCTCGCCACTTGATTAAGTAGTGAACATGGCCCTTCTTGTCCACACTGCAAGGTCAATAAAGAAAAACTCCTCAGAGCCAGAAGGCAACTTTCCTCACCTCCTCAATCAGCCTTGCTCTTAAAAACTGACAAAACCGGCCGGGCATGGTGGCGCACGCCTTTAATCCCAGCACTCGGGAGGCAGGAGTAGGCGGATCTCTGTGAGTTCAAGGCCAGCCTGGGCTACAGAGTGAGTTCCAGGACAGGCTCCAAAGCAACACAGAGAAACCCTGTCTCAAAAAACAAAAAAATTAAAAAAAAAAAAAACAAAAAAACAAAAAACACCAACAAAACCATTCTAAATCTACCAGACTCCACGTGTATTCAGAGCCTCAATAGTATCTGTCTTTGGATCACTAATCTCTCTCTACTTTACACTCTCCTACGGGCCAAATTCCAGGACTCCGTCACTGAATTAGAGAAGACTATCTCCTGAGCACAGTAAGTCAATGGCAATGCCCACTCTCTTAGGCCCTTTAGTAAGAGCCTCCATGGGTACACTACGTCCAGGGTGCCAAACAGGTACCTGTGGTTGAGGATTCGATGGATCATCATCCACTCCGGTTTTATTCCATAGCGATAGAAGCGCTCTTCCATCTCTGCAAACTTAGGGTCCTTGTTCTTTCGCTTTCGGCTCTTCTCTTCATCCCCACCGAAGTCCCCAGAAGGTGGCTCGTCCATATCATTCTTCCGCTGATAGTTTCGGAACATCACCTGACAGTGCAGCTCCAACTGGGAGCGGAGAGAGAGAGAGTAAACCACCCTGGAGCTCCTCTGGCCCCTACTCACACGGCTCTTTTCTCACGACCTCTGCAGGGTCGCCCCACATACAGCCTGTGCCAGGCTTACCTGCAGTTCTGATACCCAGGAGCAGTGCCAGTAAGACATGCCTTGCCATTTTACAAAGAACTGTCTCTCCGGCCGCCCCTCCAAGGGTTTCGGAGAGGGAGTATTAGGGTCAGCATCTGGAGGCCGAGGCACTGGGGTGGGAGATGGTGGCTGGCCCCACTTCCAAATTAGGATCTTCTGCACTTTGCCCTTAAGAGCTGGACACTGAAAAAGAGACCACTTTCTCTCAGTTAAAAAGCACAGGGAGATGTATGAAATTCCCCAAGAATGAATAAGCAGTAATGTTTATGGGTAACAGCACTTGCTGCACAGGATGAGAACATGAATAAAATGGCTAGCATTTGTAGAGATGAGACTTGCTGGTCTTCCAGAGCAACCAGATTTGATTCTCAACATTCACATTGTGGCTAACAACCATTTGTAACTCCAGTAACAGGAGACACGACACCTTCTCTCACTGAATATACATAGTATACATACATACATACAGCAAAACACCCATCATAAAACAAATCCCCAGCACCCACATAGAAAGCCACACAGTCACACACACCTGTAACCCCAGTGCCATGGGAGCAGACCCAAGGATCACGGGAGCTTGCTAGCTGCCAGCCTAGCTCCAGGTTTAGTAAGATTTATTTAGTAAGATTCTTTTCAAAGTAATAAGATGGAGTAATAGAGTAGAACACTGCTGCTCTTCTGGCCTTAGGCACAGAGGCCTGGACCCCTGCACACACATGTGCATACACAAGACAGACAAACACACACACACACACACACACACACACACACACACACACACACACACACACACA